CAAAAGTGCGGACATATTTATGGTGAACTTTAAAGAGTCCTGTGTATTTCTGGACAACTTTTTTTTATGTACAGCCTATCATTTTTTTTCCCTACACCTAGTAATTCACTGCATCGTTGCTGTTTCTAACAGTGGTTAAAATGCGGGTTAATTTCATGCAGGGAAATTGCAAACTGGCAGAAATGCACATTATGGAGTCTAAACCGTCGGCTGCCAACAATAACAACTTGCATTTAAACAGGTCTCTTCACATATGATAGATACACTTGCTTATAAACAATATACACAGTCACTACACTGTCCAGTATCAGCCTGCAAAGTGCTTTGAGGCTCCCTCCCTCCCTACTTTCTCTGTCTCTCTTGTCGCGCTCTCGCCTCTCGTTCAATTTCTCTGCCAAACAGCTACCTAATTCTCTCCAATTTGCTGAGACAATCTGCTTCCACCACCTCCCTGTGTGGACCTTCCTCAGTCTCTGTGTGAAGTGATTAAATCTCCGCTCCTCTGCATCTCATCCTCTTGTCAGCCCAAGGTGCACTGCCCTTGATAACATGACTTTAACGCCTAATTAAGGTTCAGTGCGAACCAGTTTTCAGTATTTAGAAACTATGAGCTCACAGTCTAGGCTGACACCCCAGCGCAGTGCTGGGGGGAAGCAATACTGCATTGTCAGAGGTGACGTCCTTCGGATGAGTCGTTAAACCGAGCTCCCCGTCTGTCTTCTGTTCAGGAGGATTGGTAAAGATCCCACGGCACTACTCGAATAAAGAAGCGAGTTTCTATCTCCTGGTGTCCCGACTGACAATCCCCAAGATAAAACATTCACTTGAAGTCATTCACTTCATGGCTGTCTGTTTGTGGGTACGTTGCTATGTGCAACACTAGCTGCCGTGTTCACCTGCAAAATACACAGTCACTACGCTTTACGGTAAAGACCCGTGAAGTGCTGACAGATGTCTTCCTACATGGAAAGTGCTGTATCAAATGCGGGGATTTTTTTAATTGCGTTATTATTGAATGAATTCAGTCTGACACAGCGTCTCACACCTAAGACATCTGACAAAGACAAATTAATTTACAAAGGCTTTTGGACTCAAAAATCCCATGTTTACGCCATGGAGAATGTCACACCAGAGTAATATGGTCACGCCTCGCAGCGCAAGCGACATTCAGGGCATAAAACTTTAGAAAAAAAACACAAAAGCTCATTCCTAGTATCGCTTTACGTCGGTAATAATTCCTCCAAAAAATAATAATAATAATGTGATGACTCAATCCACGGCTGTTTGTGGGACATTGCTGTGTGCAATTGGCTGCCGCGTTTCGCCCACAAAATATACAGTCACTACACTTTACAATATATTCTGTGAAACACTTCAAGACGTCTCAACGACGTGATAAGATGCTTTTTCAAATGCAAAGATTATTATTATTAGTAGTAGCTCCACAACAATAGTTTCCACACCTAACAAAAATAAACAAAGTGTGGTTACTCTTTAAAGCTTTAACAGGTAGACAAGCTGAGCAGCTTGTCCCACAGCAAGCTTTTACCTAGTTAGATTCCTGTGGTTTCTACCCCCCAACACTGACGCACACTCTGGGGTTTCTCCCCTCTCCTCCCCCACCTCCCCCAGCCTTGGCATCATTGACACATCTCAAACAGTCGTGGTTTGATTTTTTTTGTTACCCCCGGAAAGCGATCCACCAATCGACTAACAACTGGGTTTCTATTTACTGCAGAGTTAGCAGAGCAGTGTGGAGTAAGGAAACTTGCCTAAGGTTTCGTCCTGCCCGGGAATTAAACCCGGGTCCTCTCACTTGCGAGGCGTGCGCACTAACCACTATGCTACAGAACTCCACGAGTGATAATGATAATAATAATACTTGCATTTGATACACTGATGACCCAATAACCAGCCACCAAGTGAATGAGCTATTTTATGGTGGCGGGGGGGGGGGGGGGGGGGTAGGGGAGATTGTCAGCCAGCACACCGGGAAAGAGAAACTCCATTCGACAGCACAGTGTTGGGCGCACACACACACACTCACTCACACACATACTCACACACACTTACACACAAATACACATATCCCCCCCATCATTGCATTGGAGCGTCAGTCTAAACCAGGCAGGTCCAACTCTTTGGCTGCTGAGGGCCCGATGGCCTATTTGAGAAACGTCAAATGTCTCTTCCAGAAACATAACAGTTACAGGTATTGGAACAAAAATAAATGACATTTGCGTAGCGTCCTTCACGTTGGAAAGACGGGTGGGCCGGGGTGAAATGAAGGGATGAAATCGGCCTGCGGGATACCAGTTGGACCACTCTGGCCTCGACAATGCGAGTCGAAGGCCCTGATGTAGGGGCTTTAATCCACAACCTTCTGACTCGGAGGCGAGAGTGCTACCAATTGAGCCAAGTCGACACACATATTTCACAAGTCCACACACACATTGGAAAGCCTTAGTTCTGACACTGCACATCCTCCTCCTGAGCTGTGGGTTACTGGTTGCAACATAACAATATAAACAGTGCAAGGCTGGAGCTCAAATATTTATAATCCTGGATCCTGGACAGAAAGTGAGGAACGCAGAGCGATTTTTTTTTTGCATTGAGCTGCTGAGAAACTGCAGCAATCAACTGCTGGGGGGGAATGAGACAATTTTTTTCTCTGGCGCATCCGTTTCTACCCTTGTTCTGGAAGGGTTAATTTTAGGACATCAATATTCTTTTGTCTTTTTTTGCATAATTGTATATATATATATATATTTAAAGTGCATTCGCTCATTTTGCCAACAGCGAGTTATAAATCTGTTGCTCTTTTATGAATACATATATACATATACACATACATTAATACAAGGCTATCTAACTGCAGATAATGCCCCCCACCCCCCACCCCCACCACACACCCAGAAACACACACACAATAATCCTTTCGTGAATATTGCAGTGTTCCTGCGCCAGAATTTTAGAAGGTACATTTTTAGAGCCTTTCACTGAACCGATCCTTCGCAAATCGCCTCCCCCATCCCTCCCCAAACACACCACACAAACATACACACACACATATACACCCTCACCCCCACACACACCCTCACCCCCACCCACTCCACATACACACACACACACTCATTCCCCCCCCCACCCCATCCCTTTCTCTCAACACACACACACACACACACACAGATGTCTCATTCACAGATGTCCCCATACACACCACACAAACATACACACACACACATATACACCCTCACCCCCACACACACACCCTCACCCCCACTCCACACACACACACACACTCATTCCCCCCCCCACCCACCCCATCCCTTTCTCTCAACAACACACACACACACACAGATGTCTCATTCACAGATGTCTCCATACACACCACACAAACATACACACACACACACACACACATATACACCCTCACCCCCACACACACACCCTCACCCCCACTCACTCCACCACCACACACACACACTCATTCCCCCCCACCCACCCCATCCCTTTCTCTCAACACACACACACACACACACACAGACAGACAGAGATGTCTCATTCACACAGATGTCTGCCTCTTGCACACAGACTCAGATGCTACGTTACAGCGCATCGAATGATTTTGACCTCATGGTTTCCTCCCAATGTAACGAAAAAAAATGTGAGCGTTAAAAATAACACAGAAAATATTTGTCACAAATTTTTTTAAAAAAAAATGCATCTGGAAGGAGACAAGTGGAAAAGCGGAACGATCTCTGTGTCACAGCTTTTGGGCAAAGAAAGAGAACAGCATTTTTTTTCTGAGGACGAGAGGGAATAGAGAGAGAGAGAGAGAGAGAATGACAGCATCTGATCAAATGAACGATGCCAGGATCTCTCAGCAAGTTATATGAAGGTGGGGTGGAGGGGGGAGATTTAATTTAGGATTAGAGAGAGAGAGAGAGAGAGAGAGAGGATGGGGGATGAAAGAGAATGGAAGAGAGGAAGGGGGAGATTGAGTTAATAAAATAGACTGCAATTGGTATTTCTGCCGCACTGACTCCATAAATCTCCCCCCCCCCCCCCACCCCTCTCCCCCTCTCCCCCTCTCTCTCTCTCTCTCAATTGAGAACACAGCATCCAGACAGAAGATATCACCATTACAATAGTGTGTGATAAACTAGGCGACATCCCTCAATGTTTGCACTCGGGAGGTGTGGAGGGGGAGAGAGATATACATACAGAGAGAGAGAGAGAGAGAGATCAGCTTAGAGATCATTTAAGGGAGCAATAAAATAATTGATTGCCCAGCAGCTCTGATTGCTGTGTATGTTTTGCCTGTGTGTGTGTGAGCCCAAGGTATCCAAATAGCAACAGCCTCCTATCTCTCTCTCTCCTCCCTGGTACTCATTCCCCCTCCTCTCTATCTTTCTCCCCCCCCCCACCCCCTCCACTTTCATCCCCACTCTCTTATCCTATCTGCCCCCCCACTTCTCTCTATGTATCTGTCTATTTATCTCCCCCTCCCGAAGAGAGAGAGAGAGGGGAAGGGAAAGAGGAGAGAGAAAAGGGAAGGAGAGAGAAAGGGGGATGGAAAGAAGGGAAAGGGGTAAGGAAAGAGGGAGAAGAGGGGGAAGGAAAGAGGGGAATGGGGGTAAGGAAAGAAGGAGAGGGGAAGAGAAGATTGGGAAGGAAAGAGGGGAAGGGGGTAAGGAAAGAGGGAGAGGGGAAGAGAAGAGGGGGAAGGAAAGAGGGGAAAGGGGTAAGGAAAGAGGGAGAAGGGAAGAGGGGGAAGGAAAGAGCTAAGAGGGAGGGGGGAAGAGAAGAGGGAGAAGGAAAGAGGGAGAGGGGAAGAGAAGAGGGGGAAGGAAAGAGGGAGAAGGGGTAAGGAAAGAGGGAGAAGGGAAGAGAAGAGGGGGGAAAGGAAAGAGAGAAAAAGGGGAAAGGAGAGAGAGAGAGAAGGGGGGTGGGGAGTGTCTGGTGACATGATGGGGGCTGGAGAGAGGTTGACCTACCTGTGTCCTGGCGGAATTGGTGCATGGACTGCAGGTCTATGATGTAGGGTGAGAGCTGCGGCTCCACCTGGCCCAGCGCTGCGCTGCCCCGGCCGCTGGCCTTGACCATGCTCTCTATGTGGTGACTGGCTGTAGCGCTGTAGGGGCGCCAGCGGCCGTGCTCGTTCAGCCATTCCCACACCACCACCCGGGCAAAGCTCTGCGGGGGGAAACCCAGCCCCAAGCCCCCCGCCGGCAGCAGCGCCGACGAGGTTGCCCGAGCCATGGTCATTCACATAGATGTCGTTTCTTCTTCCCTCCCCTCCCTCCCTCCTTCCTTCACCAAGATCTCTCTCTCTCTCTCTCCTTCTCCAAGATCTCTGTCTCTCTCCCTCCTCTCCCAAGATATCTCTCTCCCCGTCTCCCCTTCCCTCTCCAAGATCTCTCCTTCCCAAGATCTCTCTCCTTCCCTCTCCAAGATCTCTCTCCTTCCTTCTCCAAGATCTCTCTCCTTCCCTCTCCCAAGATCTCTCCTTCCCTCGATCTCTCTCCTTCCTTCTCCAAGATCTCTCTCCTTCCCTCTCCCAAGATCTCTCTCCTTCCCTCTCCCAAGATCTCTCTCCTTCCCTCTCCAAGATCTCTCTCTCCTCTCTGTCTCCTTCTCAAGATCTGTCCCACCCTCTCTCCTATGCCAGACTAGACAGATAGATGCTTTCCCTCCCCTTTCCCTCGTTCCTTTCCCTTCCAATCTGTCTCTTTCACTCTATCTCTCTACCCTCTTCCCTTCTCTCTTCCCTTCCCCTGTTCCCCTTCCCTAACCCCCCCTCACTCCTTTCCCTATTCCCAAACCCCCTCTCCCCCCCACTTCTATCACTTTCTTTCCCCCTCCCCTTTCTATCTGTCCTTTCCCCCCCTCCCCCTCCCCTTTCTATCTGTCCTTTCCCCCTTCCCCCCTATCCTTCCCTATCCCAATCTTCTTTCTTCCCCCTTTCCCCCACTCCAACCCCCCCCCCCCCCCAACCCACCCACCCCCCCCCCCACTTTCGTCTGGGGACAGATCCTGTGTTGAAAGCCTCCGCTGTCAGCGTTGCTGTACCAGTATCAGAGGGACTGTGACTGAAGCGATAGAAACCCCCGCATGTGATGACGCTGTGGAGGCGGCGCATCTACTGACATGATTGGCAACATGTGTCTCTGGCCATACACCCCAATCCTGCTCCTTCCCCCCCCCCCCCCCTTTTTAAAATAATTTTTTGGGCCATATAACAAACACACACCCACACTCGCATGTGCACGCACACAGAGAGACAAAAAAACGCCCCCTTTAAACTAACAGAATCTGTAAATAACAACAACAGCAACAATTTGGATTTATACAGCGTCTTCCGCGACGGACGGCGTCTCAGAGCGCTTTACAGTCGCGGATCCCGGGACCCGAGCCAGGGGGAAGCGGTCGAAAAGAAACAGATCCACGTCAATCTCGATCTCTCTCTACCTCGCTCTACTTCACTTGATTCCTGCTTTTTTCTCCTTTTTTTAACATTTTATTTCAATTATTAAAAAATACACATAACACAACACATAAAAAAAACTCCCATTAAACGAACAAAATCTGTAAAGAGACCCATATCAATCTCAATCTCTCTCTACCTCTCTCTGTGTGTACTGTACATGTTATGTTGTGAATAGGGTGTTTTGCAATTGTGGTTAAAGGATTAACACTGCAGGATTTGAATGAGGGAGGGAGAGGTGGGGGGGGGGGGGGGGAGTGAAATCATTGCATACAACAAACACAAAGTGGACCGTGAAAAGGAATGAGAGAGAGAGAAAGGGAAGGGAAGGGAGGGGATAAAGTGAGGAATTGGAGACAAAGTCAATAAAGTGATGGGGAAATCTGCAAACGGCAGAGACAGAGACAGATAGACAGGGAGAGAGAGAAAAGGTATTGATTCCGGAGTAAAGCTTCACTGAGAGATGAAAACAACAGACTCTGACCCAGAGAGGGGGGAGGGAGGGAACGAGATACAGGCAGAACCCTTCCAGAACATGAACAACAAAATTACATTTGTAAAGTGGCTTTCACGTTGGGAGGATGTCCCAAGGCGCAGAAGGTGTGGGTGGACAGATGTGACTGATGACCAGCCCTGTGTTTGAACAGGAGTTATACTGTAACATTCAAACATTCCAAAGTGTAGTGACTTTTATTTCAGGTGAACGCGGCGGGCAGTTTGCGCGCAAATACAGTCACAGAGCAAATTGACTTAATTCACATAGAGTTCCCGTAGCGCGCTTGCCTCACCTCGCAGGACCCTGGGTTCAATTCCCAGTTGGGGCGAAAGCTTACGCACATTTCCTTACTCCACCACACGCCTCTGTTTACCTAGTAGTAAGTAATAATAGTAATAATATTAGTAGTATTATTAAGTAGAAACCTTTTAAAAAAATGTAGTCACTCAATCCACGACTGTTTATGGGACAGTATTGTATGCAATTGGATGCCGTGTTGCGCCCACAAAAAGCACAATCAATCCACTTTACAAAAAAGTGTCCTAAAATTGACTGCCCCCCCTCCCCTCCGCTTGCCAGACACATAACTAAACCTGGGAGAAATTGCCCTACTGCCTGTAGGAGAGGGTCTGGGCATCTCTCAAACCTGTCAAAGCAATCAGAAGCAATAAATATATTCAATAAGATAACCGGCTAAGATTAAATTTTCCATTACCCAACTGTAAATTCATCATCTTAAGAGTTTCATTCCCTTCATTCGGTATTAAGGCTGAATAATGTTTATTGAATATCTGCTTAATTCCACAGTCCAACATAACACAGATGAGAATTGTTTTTTCCTGCAATATTCTGGGGGGGAGGGAATGAGGGAGTGCTGTGGGTGGGGGTGGGGGAAATTAGGGGTGTTTACAAACCTGCAGAAAATAAACATTTGCAATCAGTTTATTGCTCATTTTGGTTTCACTGGCCTCTTGATTTGCTGGAGAGAGGGAGAGAGAGAGAGAGAGAGAGAGAGGGAAAATAACCTGCCCAAATGACTTCAGATAAGTTAATGATTTTCCTCTTGGAAATGAACTAAAATGAAAACTTTCCTATTAATCAAGTGAAATTGTCTGAATCACCAAGCTACCGATGGTGAGCAAATTAAAAGATTTTTTTTTGAGAGTGGAATTATTTCCAAGATTGATATACGTGTCTCCCAGAGCCAGATGCTGTACTGGGCTGTATCTGTACATCAATCTCTGATGTATGGTTTCCGGGGGAAGAATTTCGATTGGGATGTCATAATGGAAAGCTTCCTGAAAATAGATGTGGAATTCGTTCTCCCACGTGAGATTCGCACCATAATAATAAGAATCCTTGCAATTGATATAGTGCCTTATCACATCCTCGAGACATCTCAAAGCGCTTCACAGAATATACTGTAAAGTGAATTGACTGTATATTTTGTGGGTGAAACGCGGGGCAGCCAAAAATTGTGCACAACAGTGTCCCACAAACAGTCGTGGATTGAGTGAATGACCAGATCTTTTTTGAAGGGATGACTGTGGGTTCAAGCCCCAGGTTGGGGAGACTTTAAGATCACGGTTTAGGCTAGTGCTCCAGTGCAGTACTCGTGGGGGTGGATTGCTTAACACTGCATTGCCAGAGGCACCAGTGTTCGGATCAACTGAGGACCCATCTATCTGTTCAGGTGGATGTTAAAGATCCCATATTGGCCAGCGATTCTCCAAGATAAAAAAAAGCCATGAATTGAGTGACACATTTTTTAACAGGATCCGAGTGGGAGGTGTCCCATTCCTCAGTGGTTGGTCTGCCATTCCAAGTTCAACCAACGAGCCAGGCTATCTGGCCCGTCATCTGGACTTGGTGCTGTGGACCAGGCTGGCTCAGGAACCTGGTCAGCGAGACAGCCTCAGTTGTTTGATTTAATACTGATATTCCACAGTTAATGGCGAGCTGTGTGGTTTTAGCTGGTTAGACGCCATCAGTTACTCCAAAGCACACTTGCTCCTGTTAACCCTGCAAACCAAAGTCCAAGCCAGGAATGTGGTCCTACCCAGACAAGCATTGGGAAAGCTAGTCAATTAGGGGAGTAACTAATGCTTTCAAATGACGTGGTAGTATCCACATATTCTCAGCAATCTTGATACGACAGCAATATTCTTGCTGATTTCTCTGCTTATTGCTCCTTTAGCAAACCACCAGCTAGAAGCTCAGTGAAGCCCACTTGTGCCACTGTATCAATCACCTTCACAATCCATACTCATTTGCAAAGATAGCGTTTAAAGGTAGAGGTGACTTTCGGTGATAAATCGGCAGCAATTGATCACGTTATATCACCTGCCTTTTTTTTAATAAAATTGACTCTCGCCACAACTTGAGCGCTGCTCAAATTGCGCGTACAATAAGTGATAATAATCTTTACATTTGATATAGCACCTTATCACGATGTTGAGACGTCACAAAGCGCTTCACAGAATATATTGTAAAGTAGATTGACTACTGTGTTTTGTGGGCGAAACACAGCAGCTAATTGCTGGATTAATTGACCAAATTTTTTATTTGGAGGGATTATTACCCCGGAAAGTGATCTGCCAATCGCCCAACAACCGAGTTTCTATTGTGAATAGAAACATAAAAATCTGCCGATGTTTATTTTGTTGTGTCTCACCCTTCAGAAAGAAGTGCATTCTATGAGAGAAATAACATGAAGTGTTGGGAAAGGTATCCTAGGAAGGAATCAATGCATGTAATATATATTATATATATTGTTGTATTCATTTCATCCAGCAACCCCCTCCCTCTATTTCATCTGGCCCACCCGCTCCCTCCATAACCGGTACATGTTATGTTTCTGGATTGGCAAAACAAAGATATTGCGGATGTTTCTCAAGTAGGGCATTTGGCTCTTAGCAGCCAAAAGCTTGGACCACCCTGATTTAGTTTTAAATAGAGAGTAAACCATTTCCCCCCCAACCCCTTTTACATTCAGTAACAGTGTTAAGCATTCCCATCTGACAGGTGTCAAGTGGCACTTCATAAAGAATTCTCCTAAACCAAGGCTGTGATTTATATCAGTGCCATTGTATGAAATGTGAATTGGGTTTCTAAGCGCCTAGCATTATGAGCTGAGTGCTTTTCCTGCTTTTATCGTATGGCATTTATAAATCTAGCTAATGTCCATTGCAGCCCACAACCCTATCAGCACAACACATTATTATTATTATTATTATTAGACATGGAAACTATTGTTGTGGAGCTACTACTACTAATAATAATAATCTTTGCATTTGATATAGTGCCTTCTCACATCGTTGAGACATCTCAAAGCGCTTCACAGAAT